GTCAGGCTCGCAGGTTCACGAGACTCCTGGGCTTCATATTTTCTCTCTATTCTCATCCTATTAGAGATTCTGACCCTCCCCCTCCATCCCCACTTTCTGCTAGCCTCTCCGCCACCCTCCCTCCCTCCCCCCATCGTCTCCCTCTCTCTCACACACACACACACACAATGTTCCTCCCTTCAGCAGACACACATACATACAAACACACACACATGCATGCATGCACTCCCTGCATTCTTGTTCACTTTCTCTTTCCATCTCTCACACGTTCACACACACGTAGCTCACAGACTGAAGTGTGTGTGTGTGTGTATGGGGGGGGTTACTGAGCTAGTAGAGATGTGAGGCTTGAAAAACGTGAGCAAAGAGGGGGAGATGGAAGGATGACGACTAGAGAGTGTAAAAGAGGGAGAGAGGAAGGAAGAGAGTAGACTTTGAGGTACAATGAGAGCAAAGGGAGACGTCTAGAGACCGTGAATGCAGCACGGAGGGTAAATGAGTTTTGTGTGAGTGTGTGCATGTGTGTATCATCTGTACGTGTTGGACAGCATGTGCACAGGGAGGTTTGGTGAATGAGCGAGCATGTGAAGCGAGCTCTTTTTACTCTCTCCTTTATTTTCCTCCTGTTTGCAGCTCTGCGCGTTAGTGACGGCAGCCTAACGGAGACACAAGGTGAGCAGCTGTGCAGATGTTGGTGTTAGTCAGGCAGGTAGGCAGAGAAAAATGGAATCAATACTATTGTCTGTAACCTACCTGCCGCTGGCTCTCTGTCTGGCCCCACAGACCATCAGAGAGAGGGAGAGGACACACAGACTCACTCTGACTGGGAAGGAAAAGAAGAGGCTGACTAAGAGGTGATTTACTTTCTCTTTTTTTACGTTTTCACTCAAAATGTGAGATCAGATTAAGGACTGTATTTATTTATGTAGAGATAACATATATTTGATCTGGAACTTTGTCTTCACTAGTCCTTCACATCCTGTCCTCTGACTATTACTATTTATAATGTGTGCATACATGTGTGCCCTGTTTATCTGTTTATATTGATGAATTGTGAATGTCTGTGTCTGCACCGCTGAAAAGCTTTGCAATGAATGCCCAGGCTGCATGCTCTTCGACAGGTTATATATTCGTTTCATATTTGATTCGCAGTTTCTTTTAATTCTGACTTTTATTTAACATGTTCTTTGGAAATCTGAGTTAACAAGATATATGATTGACATTTAACTCAATATAAATACGTTTTCATTTGTTTTACATCTGGCTGGTAAATTAGAAAAATAGCAGCTGTCAGGGAATTGAAATGTTATGACTGGCTGTGTTTTACTATGCTCTTACACCTGCTGCAATAATCATTAATGTGCTTTGTCGTTTGGCATGATTAACTCACCTTTTTGCTTTGTTGATACCAACATGAATTGTGTATTTTAAACCAATTAAAAATCAACCTCTACCGCAAACAAAACGCTAATTAATTTTTTTTAAGGTGGAGATATGACAAATGTGTGCAATTCCCTCTGGTCTGATCCGGCTGCCAGGTCTGTCACATGCAGTATTAACTGAGAAAAACTGAAAATCACACCTCTGATTCACAAAATCTTTGAGGCCTGTAGCTCATGAAGTCAACCTGTACTCAAGGTTTATATGCACATGTACTGCGGTTCAATTTGATGCATGATGTGACGCAGGCACCTTGCACCTTTTATTCACATTCACACTGGGGAGTTTTTGCAGAGAAAACACAACATTTGAACTGTCAGAAAATGCAAATCTCTCTCTTCCACGACATATGAACATATTCAGCCTTCCCCAGTCAGCCTGTGTCATTCTGCCTGTCTACCAGAGGGTGGCATATTTCGAAACAATTAATTGTTTTTCTTTTTTACCGAAATGTACAAAAAGGTTTGGGATAAATATATATATTTGTCTTTATAAAAAAAGACTACAGTTTGGGTTTCTCTAAAGTGTCATTGTTTCATTTCAATTACTGGAGGTTTCTGTTTTCTATGCCCTCCATGTCCCAGTCTCGTTTCATCTTTACTGGTAAGTCTGAAGGCAGACTATTACAAAAATAATGACAATAAGTGCAACATTTGGACTGTATAGCTCTGAAAATGCGTCTTCACAGGAACTTTGGAGGTTTCAACCTGCTCAAATATCAATAACTAAAAATGTATACCCACTTTTTATGAAACAAAAGTTGGTCTCGTATATAATTCTACCACCTATGTTTTGTACATACCTATTATGTTGATAATTACAGTCCTCTCAGCTCATTGAGCCCGGTAAAGCTATTACACACTGTAATTTGTAAGTCCTAGCTCAATAAATCATGTTCAAAATAACAGTGACATTTAACAGCAGTTTGAAATGAATTGAAGCTGAACCGCTGCATTGCTGAGATTATTTCAGCCTTGAAAAAATGTTTTGTTGCTCTTATTGCTGCACTGTGAAGCGAAGGAATTGTGTGAGTGAAATGAAGACAAATATGCTATTGAACATGTTTACATTGATCTGATCAGTCTTGCTTTCCATCTGCAGCAAACCAGGAGACCAGTCGGTGCCGCAGAATCCAAATGTCAGATGAGGTCATGTCTTTGTCTCGGTGCAGCCACCCTGCGGTTCCTCCTTCAATACTTTTTATCTCTGCGTCCCCTTTTTTGTACTTTTTCTTATTAGACCCTTCCTCCTTTAATTTGTCAGTATGCCCCTCTGTCCCTGAGACCCTTAACCTGTGAGGTCAAAGTAGGTCACAGGTGAGGTCCTCGGGAACAGGGCTGCATTCAGTTTCAACGGCCTACGATTAAGAACATGACGTGATGAAGTATCCGTTTTTCCTTCTCAATGTTCACTCAAACCACATTAAACAGAAGAAAAGCCTCAGAAGCTACAATGTAACGTTTCTTCTGGCTCTGATGTATTTCAGTACCCAGCTGTGTTCTTCATGTTGACTGTTTCAGTATGTTTACCTGTCATGTGATGATCAAGAAGAAGACCCCTCTTGCTGCAGCAGACACTCTCAGGGGGCCGTCCCTATTGGCTGGCTTTGTGTTTGAGCCCTCAATGGGGGCCAATAGAAAGACAGCCAAGGGTTGTGACCCCGCCATTTTTATCGCCTTGTGGAGTTATTTATCATCATGTAAATGTTCTGTACTGGAAACGTTGCTCTGTAATTACCTCTGTATGTTAATAAAACGTGGCAAAACATTTTTGTAATGTGCACATGTTTTCTTGTGAGTGTCGAAAAAGCTCCACAGGTGTTAAGTTCAAGGTTCAAGGCTTTTATGTGTCATACGTACATAGCTACAGTGTAGTTATGTCGATGAAAATCTTAGGTCACAGGCTCCTCCAACACTGCAACACAATAAAACATACACTGAAAAAATAGTGCAAGTAAATACAAGAAATAGTGCAATAAGAGTTTATATACAAATGATTGGAATATGATATATTAGATAAATAATTGTAAGTTGCAGCCAGATGAAAGTTATGGATGTTGTTTCAAAAGTTCAGGTGTGTAATAGTCTTTTGACCTGTGGGATGAAACTGTCCCTGAGTCTGGTTGCAATATCAAATTACATTGTCATTGTCTGCAATGAGTTATCTTTGCTAGATCGAGGCCAAATTACCTGAATTTGACATGAAGCACCGGTTATTTAAAAGAGTAAAGAGTGATAAGAGCTTCTTCTTCCACATAAATAGAACATATTTTCTTTTACAATTAAAGTCAACTTTAATGTAAATGTTTCTGTGTGTGTGTACGGACAGAGAGATCGAAATAAGGCTTCCAACAATCCCGAATACAACAATATAAATATGAATATCCTCTATATATACAATCAAGACACATTTACACATATGCACACATTAAGATAAAACACAACAATCAATATATAAAAAAAAAAGATAAAAGATGTAAATAAGCAAATGTTATGCTTTTATAAATGCTTACGAAAAAATGTGTGGCGTACTGCAGCACATGCTCTGTTAAACACAAGGGAAAGCACACAGACACGTATCTGGGATTTTCCCCGTCCCCCTGACTAGCGTTCTGACTTTGGCTCCTGGAGCACACTCTTGCCTAATATTGATTGGCTTGTCTGTGTGGAGACAGATGAATGCATTAGTACCCAGCTCACCCTGCCACTGGAAATATAGTAGGTTCATGTATTAGGCACCCTGTCTGGTTGCCATGGAGATGCACCGGGAGTGAGGGACCAGGGAAGAGAGGGGGAGGACGGGGGGTGAGGAGGAAGGGAGACGAGTGGGGGATACAGGATGTGAGGAGGCAGTCGACTTGATTTGTAGTCCCGTTCCCTCTTCTTCCTCCTCTGCCTGCCACTAATGTGTCCTCTCTTAGCTCTAGCACCTACACTCCTCTTCTTTGTTCCACCTCTATTTATTTTTTCTCCTACTACATCTTTTAAACCCCACAAGCTAGAGTCTGACTCTTTTTTTCGCACGATTTGCACTTTCTCTCTGCTCAGTATTCTATTGATGACCCTTTTGTTCTCCGTCTCGCCACCTCCCTCCCCACCAGTTACACATTAACTCTTTGTATATTTGTCTTATTTTTTCTTGCCTGTACGCTTTCCACTTTATCCCTGGTCACACGTAAGCATTTCACTTCCCAGTCTTCTGCTCCTCTCTCCCCCCTCGCCTCCTTGGCTCGCTCCATCTCTGTGCTCTGCAGTAAAACTGGTGCATTGAGGCAGCAGGAAATGGGGACCAGAGACAATAGAATGGAGGGAAGAATGGAGGTGTGATGCTCTCCTCTCAAACCCAAGCATGTTAAGGATACATAAGCAGGACACTTTCAAAATCTTGCTTACAATGTCATGTGGGATATGCACACTAAATGAATAATGAAAGCTTTAATTTGTAACCTTCTCCTGGATATACAAAACACCGGAATGTCACCGTGTGGTCACCATGAGCCCAGGATTTGAATGAAAACAGTTCATACAGAATCAGCTTGAGTTAGATGCTCACGCTGCAAAATGTGCAAATCTGCTTTGTGTCTGGTGTGTGTTAGCTTGCTGTTAGGACCCTCTCTAAGCTGCTATCAGTGCTTTGTTGAAGTGCAAGACAGTCTTCGCCTGTGTTGGGGTCACATTTTGACTGAGCACAATGTTAGAAATGTGGACTCCTGCTTCAGGAAGCTGGACCGCATTTTCAACAACCATGAGAGAGTGATTGAGGCTGGAAGAGTGGGTACGAGGTTGTTTTTGTATGTATTATGTTTCATCACGAAAGACAACGTACACAGTAAGAAAGATGGTTTATATTTTGATGTGTGTGCCTGTTCCAGGTAAGGGCTATGACAAACAACTGAAAGAACTTCTGGATGGGGAGATCCTGCCCATGGTGGAAGAGTTCGACAAAAAGCGGAATAATGGTAGCTGAAAACCTGCTCTGATAGACACATAACTGCACAAGTTAATGAGTCTTTAGGGTGCCAGGAAAGGAGGGGAGTTAGAAATGAGTTTTCAAAATGATGCCCTAAAGCACACGATTCACCGGGATGTGCTGAGCTGAATATTTCTGTTTCCCCTCCTCTTCATCCATCAGACACAGTGTATGAGGAGAGGTTGCAGACAGCAGCAGACAATTTCATCGCAGCTGCCTCCAAACTGCCTAGAGGTGAGACAGGGTCTCTTCCCCTTTCCTTCATCTTTTCATCTATGGTAAGACCCCATATTAGGTCATTACAGCTCCCTGTGATCTCTGTTCTCTCTCTGGAGTGAGCTAGTTATGTTATTACAGCCTTTCAAATAGTGTGGAGAGTAAAGGAAGCAGGTTGAACTGACGACTTCTGGGTGGAAAGCAACTCATGAAATCAAAATAAAATAAATGACTATCTTATTTTGTTTTTACAGTCTCTGGATGCCTCCCTCCATGTGGTTAGTGTTTCTACTTTTTTTTGTCTATTTCTTATAATCATTCATGTTGTTGGACACTAAATACTCTTGTACTTTTATGCACCCATCAGGATTTCAGAGTGCAGGTGCTGTATACAACTGTATTACCTGCCAATATGACTCCTGTGAACTCCCTCTTGACTGTCCAGGTGGGTATTCATAGTTCAACATATTACTGTTACATCACAATTTTCTAATAGTTAAAAAAGGGTGTACTAATCCAGACTTGACACATCCTTACATAACTATAATATCACCTTCATAAGCCTCCACTCTTGATCCTTGAAATTCTCCGTTTTTGATCCTTGAAATGCTCTTAGCAGGAAGTCAAGATTATTAAAAAAAAAAAATGACAGAGGCGAGGTTTTATTTCCACACATTATATATTTTTGCACAGAGCCCCCAAGGTACTCTTTAAGTCCTTGGCTTCTTTATGCAAGGTGACAGTTGACTCCCACACACGGTGGTATAGATTCATATCAAGCCTGTGCAGCGCAGTCACTGTTTAGCATTTCATCACTTTTACTCCGCTCCACAGAGACTGGGCTTAAGTATTATCATTAAGGAGGGCTCAGACTGCAAGAGCTGCCCCCCAGTGAATGTTATCTGTGTGTGTGTGTGTGTGTGTGTGTGTGTGTGTGTGTGTGTGTGTGTGTGTGTGTGTGTGTGTGTGTGTGTGTGTGTGTGTGTGTGTGTGTGTGTGTGTGTGCCTATATGTTTGTGTCAGTTAAAGAAGTTACAGCAATGGAGAACAGCAGGAGCCAGATGTGGTGTGAAGTGCCATTTCACTTACCAGGAAATATCGAGGTGATCTGGAGGTTTGCAGAAGAGGTACGCTCACCCTATGATGAACTATTCAGGTTCACTGCAAATTACTTTTAAATGAATACTTAAACATTTAAAACAACACATTATGACTTTCTTCCCAAGAGTTAAATTAGAAGATTGATACCACTCTTGCTGAAGCTGTGTCACGGGACCAGTAAGCTTACTTAGTTTAGTTTAGATTAACATTTGAAAGCAGGAGGAAATAGCTACAGTAGCCTGGCTTTGTTCTGAGGTAAAAAAAATTAAAAAAAAGCTTTCATAAAGCTACATTTGCCACATTTTGTCAAATAGCAGTCGCATTTATAAAGTTAACAGTTTAATTTGTTTATGTGAAGGCTGTGTCTAAGCTGTAACAAGCCAAATGTTTGACTAACCAACACATTCATTCCTTTCCAACCCACATAAATAAACATTAATGGTAACACTCAATAAATAGACACAGCGCAGGCCTTACATTCATCCTTTTAACACCAACCAATACAACACAGCGCAATTTTCACGTTTTGGAGGGGTTGTAGTTTTATATAAGGAGTATGTATGGGACTGTTTATTGGCCTGGACATCACTGCAACCTGCCAAGAAATACTGCAGAACATAATACCATCCCGTAACAATTTGTATTCTCATCACTTTAAACAAATTAGTTATAGCATGTTGACTGGTGGGTACTTTAATTTACTTTGGAATTGTTATAATTATTTTTATTTAAAAAACTTGGACAGGTGAAAACCCAGCAGGTGGATCAGTTTAAAGAAGTTACTGCAGGCCTGGACACACTTTATTCCATCCCTTCCAGCAGCTTGCAGCATGTGGGCACCTACCAGTGTGAGATCTACTCAGGCCAACGCTCCATTGTCAGGCTCTACTTCTATCTCACAGGTAACACAATACAATACTTTCAGATTTAATTGTACTCTTTGTATTAGATGTTAAAACTGATGGTACAAAATGATGCTATTTTCTTGGAATATTGTGAATAACTTTGAGGGGGAATTGTAAACAAATGGAAAGCACAAATAAAAGCCAGTCGTAAAAAAACTCCTCAAATCTGTGGAAATCGTCAGTTATGAAACCACATAACAAGGGCTCAACGGCTGTGCCACAAATCAAATCATGGAGGCAATCAATATAATGACCCAATTCAGATTTCAGTAAATTAGTGAATGTGTATTTATGGATATACTTGTATGGATATGCATATTCATACACTTTGTATGTGTGCATACAGTACTGTATGTACTGTACAATTACATGTGTATCTTTCCTGATTAAGTATTTATATACATTCTTAATAGACTTCACTGCACTTTTCTTTTAGTCGTGTTGTTCTTTTCTTTTATGCTTATTTTTCTCTTAATGATTTAAGATTAAACTGTTATATAGACAACTGTTGAACTGGGGGGGGGGGGATAGCAACCCCACAAATTACACAAATTATGATTGAAAGTAATGACAACGTATGAAAGATATTTTTCATATATTTGTTTTTATTTAGCATTTTACCAAGTCCATCACCATTATCTTTTGCTGTTTGGGCTCAATGTGAGTTGAAACTCTCTCTTTCTTCTCTCTGTCTCTCTGTCTCTCTCTAAGTGACCCCCCAGGTTGTGGCCGGCCACACAGAGCTGCAGGAGATATTTGACCTGTCTCTGCTCCCAGGAGGGCGGTTTCTCCCTGCGCCTGCTGGTCCCCCCCACTCCCTCACCACCTCGCCACTGCTTCTCACCGCCTGTTTGACGGCTTTGCTTCTGCTGCTGTTCCTCTCCATGGGGTAAATAAAAATCTATTATTTATACAATCTGACACATTCACAGCAAAGAAATGTTCTTGAGAGGCCAAGATGCACCAAGCTAAGGCACATATTAGTTGTTTTCATATGTCCTACTTTTTCTTTTCCTGTTGCAGAGCTCTGTATTGGTCAGTATTACCAGACCAAACAAGTCATGCTGAGCAAGAAGAAGAATATTTAGGATTGTGAGAATTTTACAGATACATGTACTGCAATAAAGGCATTTTATCCAGCATTTGGGGTTACGTCATTGCTTACAGAAAGCCGGTGTGTGACTCTTTCTGCCACTAGAGGGCAGGATCTATCAGTGGAGCTCAGTGCACTGTGCTGCATTAACAACAAAACGTGTTCTCTTTGTGTCTCACAATGATGAGTAACGGACTAGGTATACTCACTTACAATGCTTGCTATAAACAATATGTAGTGAGATATAATTATGATATTGTAATTTTTACTCCTCTACATTTATCTGACAGGTATAGATCATTTTCATATTAGGTTGACATACACATAAGCTAAAATCAATCATCTGCCAAAAGTGTGTCATTTAAAACATAATGTTATATAATATAATGTAATTTAATAATCCAAGGAATTCTAACTTTGTAAAAGTTATACCATTCCGCATAATGAATACTTTCAGTTTTGATATGTACCAAACATTCTTTCCATTTCAGTTGTGCACTTTTGCTGGAGCTAAATTGAAATGCATAACCTACTAACAAGATCAAAGTATGTGTCCCCAAATGTGTCAAATTACATATATAATTCAGAGAGTTTTACCAGGATAGATGGTGACGTGACAGTGTTGTCCAGATACAATCAAATATATAAGTAACCTCAAATCAAATGTCCTTGTAGTGTTATTAGCATGACACAGTACATGTACTTGCTTTTGTTTATTGCTACTGTACCAATAAGTAAGGTGTATGACTTCAGGTAGGACTTGAATTGCTCCACTGGCTTGTCTGATGAAGTGAACCCTAAAGTCTTCAGGTGACCACAAGGGAGCAGCATTAACCACCCGCATGTCTCGTATCAGCAGAATGAGGAGAACACATGACCATACCTGCCAATCCTACCGACAAAATTAGGTAATCAGAAGAAATGGAACCACAGTAATTACAGGTATAAACCATGTATTTAATATACAGTATTGCATCACTTTTTGTATTTTTCACAAAAATTGGTCATACAATGTTCAGTCACTTTAGTGCTTGGTATGTAGCAGACTTGGCTTTCTTGAGAAGTTCAGGGTCTAGTTTCCAGTTGTAGCAGGTGAATTCTTTGAAGATGTTTATTTTCCCTGCCAACAGACCTTCGTGTGCTTCTCTCCTCTCCGCGATGCCTAGATAAACTCGTGATCTTAAGCATTTGCTTCCTCCTACTCCCTTTCGGACACATATGACTTTTTTTTATTATTATTAATATAAATACTTTTTTTTGTATCATGAATGTGGATAAATACTGTATTTTAACAATACGGTATTCTTTTTTTTCACATTTGTTATTTTTTATTTGTTATTTGTTTAATCTGTTCGAAATAAAGATTGAAATGATCTGCTGTCCACTTGGCTTTAAACACATTGTCCCGCTTGGTGGGCTTCTTCTTCTCGGGGGTTCTATTCATTGCGAAATGTCCATATCAAAACCTGTAGCTGTGTGTATTGTTGAATTGCTAAATCGGTAGGCGTTAGAAACATGTCAAAAGCGGTAGACTACCGCCCAAATCGGTAGCGTTGGCAGGTATGTACCGATTTGGGCGGTAGTCTACCGCTTTTGACATGTTTCTAACGCCTACCGATTTAGCTGGCTTTACCTATACCAATTTCAATCTTCCCAAATTCCAAAAAAAATAAAAATGACCCATGGCGCACCATAGACAATGGACTCGATTTTGGCTCCTATCCAATGAAATTGGATTTGCTTATCGCGTGATTAGTGTTCGGTCTTGGCGTCCCAGTGTTGTTTATTCACATCAGAGATGTTCAATAATACACACAGCTACAGGTTTTGATATGGAAATTCCGCAATCAATAGAACCCCCGAGAAGAAGAAGCCCACCAAGCGGTGGGACAATGTGTTTAAAGCCAAGTGGACAGCAGATCACGAGTTTATCAATATATTAAATACATGGTTTATACCTGTAATTACTGTGGTTCCATTTCTTCTGATTACCTAATTTGGGTGTGCACATTTTCCATGCGCAAACTACCTCTTTTGGATTTGGAAAGGTTGGCATGTGTGCACATCCTATACCTATTAGAGGATATGTATAGTGTGCATCATCGGGGCTGTGGTCCAGATAAAATCTGGTTGCTAAAGCTAAGGACAATACGCCCCCAAACAAATCTGAATCATATGTGAGTATGGGGAAGTACTTCTATTGCTTAACAGACTTTAACTGAGTATGTGACCCTGGAGTCATACTTGCAATCATAAGATTTGCTTTAGTGGACCAGTCAAGTGTGGATGTGACCAAACATTGCGTAACATATTCTCTTTAACCCTGTATTCTCTGGAATACGATCTTATCAAGAAACAATTAATTATGTTAGTGATTGTATACTTTGCTCCTCCTTAATAAAGAAAAGCATAGGCTACACATGGCTGCTTTGGGGCAGTATGCCCAATCTCTCTGTCATGTGCAAGTTCTTAAGGTTGTTACAGTTGTTTGATTATTTTTACTTTCACTCAGTTTAGGAGGTTGATGGTCAACATGTCAATGTATCTTTGGGCAAGATATCTAACCCCACAGTGGTCCTGGTGGCTTGGCCAAATGTGTGTGAGTGTGTGTGATTGTAGTTTCCCTGAGCAATGAGTGCACATTGTGTGGCAACCTCTGTCTCTGAATAAATGTGTGTGAGTGGGTGAATAATGACTTGGATGTACATTAAATCAAATCAATCAAATGTTGTTAATATAGCCCAAAGTCACAAATTACAAATTTGTCTGAGGGGGTTTTACATGTTGTACAGAATAGACACCCTCTGTCCTTAGATTCTAGCATTGTACAAAAGAAAAACTACCAAAGAAACAATTAATTAGTGAATATGGAGGATTTTGTGGAGGTTCTATTCTGTAAAATAGAACCATATATATGTAAGTAATACAAATACTGATTAATATCATAAGTCAGAAAATTAAAAGACTCTATGAAGTACATGCACACACAGATACGAATAACTTCAGTCATTATTCAGTATCCATACGTTTCAGGTTATTCAAATAATTAAGTAGATAATAAAAGAAAAGTGCAAAAAATGTTCTTTTGTGAGTAAGAAAAATGTATATATGAAATAATAGCAAATAGTAGATATTTAACATTTAATAACGGATATTTCTTCACGGTCTGCAGAGGAGCTTTGATGATTATCTCAGGTTAAAGCTTTGAAAAAGTGAGCATTTATCAGGAACAAAGGGTCTAATGAATTAGCAATATAGAAAAATAGAAAACATTGTATTATAGTTTGAGGTTATCTGGATATCTCCTTTTTTTATCTATCCATAATTACAGCTCTACCGTAGATAACACGTTCGCAATCGCATCAGCCCAATTGCTAATCTCACTTACCACATCACATGAAGCTAAACGTATCTTTTGAGAGTATTTCCATTTTGAGTGAGATTGCACTGTCAATAAAGCAAGTCTCCTAAAGAGGGTAGGGAACAGTGTCTTTAAAGCTTGTACACATAAACACTCGGTAAATTAGACAAACTTCAGCAAAGTGTTACGTTTTTGATGAATGCTCTGCTACAAAGTGTTTTACCTCTTTCTTGATAGTTACATAGTTGCTAAGAACCTCCTGTTTTGTTCTGATAACTGCGGGGCAACAGACTGTAACTGTGGTTGGTGGTTCCAGGTACAAAAGGGAGATAACGGACTCCTCAGGCACAGTCTGCTCTTGTGGGCATCGCCCCACCAATCAAGTGACTGGAAACCACATCACCCATTCTTAGTGCAAAAGAGACTCATGACTGATAGAGATAACACACAAAATCAAAGATTTCCACTGCAAGACCAAGTAATTAAGTATATTATGTGCCTGGGATTTTGGAAAATCAGGAGTTACGTCCACCTACAGTAACGTTTATTGTCATATCATAAACACAACTACGGTGTAGTTATGTAATGAAGGAAAAACTTGGATCACAGGTTCCCAAAACAAACAAAAAAATAGTGCAAGCTCAGTCGTTAAATAGTCTTATGGCCTGTGGAATGCAACTGTCCCTGAGTCTGTTGGTTTCTGTCCTGATGCTGCGTTTCCACCTGCCAGACGGCATCAGACAGAACAGTTTGTTGCTGGGGTGATGTTTTTTTTTTTTTAATACTGTGGGCTTTCTTCCTGAGCCGTCCTGGTGATGTGCAGTTTCCACCACCCTCTTTATGGTTGAGGGCTTGCAACTGCATGCCGCACCAGGCCGTGATACAGCCGGTCAGGATCCTCTCTATGGTGCACCTGTAGAAGTTGCAGAGTATCCTGGGAGTAGAGGAGAGGGCTGAGCACACAGCCCTGAGGGTCTCCAGTGTTGAGGATCAGGGTGGAGGATGTGATGTTTCCCACCTGCACTGCCTGGGGTCTGGCCGTCAGTTAGTTCAGGATCCAATTACGGAGGGCGCTGCTGAGCCCAAGGTCCCTGAGCTTGGTGAAGAGCTTGGAGGGCACAATGGTGTTGAAAGCTGAGCTGTAGTCACAGAACAGCATTCTCACATATGTGTTCTTCTGGTCCAGATCCTGTTTGCTCTGTAGGCAAACTGCAGGGGGTCCAGAGAGTCAGGGAGGGAAAGTGTGATGAATGTTTTGACTAACCGCTCAAAGCTATTCATGATGATGGAAATTAATTCCAGTGGGCGGTAGTCATCGACGCAGGTGATTTTAGTCTATTGTGGCCAGTAACGATGGTGGGGTGTTTAAAACATGCGGGGACTACAGACCCTTGTTAGTCATTGTCCTTAGTCCCGCCTACATGTTTCTGGCGTCAGAGCCTTTGAAGTCACACTCTACTTTTCCTTTGCGGTTCTAATTGCTCTCCGGAATACCTTGAGTTCCTGTACTCGTCCAAATCTCCGCCTCTGTGGACATTTAAATATATGAAGTTTAAAAATACTACGTTACTCAAATATCCGGTATCTCTTGTCAGTTTTTGGTCTTACATATTGGTCTTGACTGAAATGTCTCAACAACGAT